CAATGTTAGCATTGATTGCACTGACTGCTGAACATGCCAGCACTGATCGCCGACATGCATACACTGACTGCTTCATGAGACAGTGCAAAACCGCACGGCCACATCGGCATCCTTGAAGCGCGCCATTAGTGATTACTAGTACAACAAAAAGAATTAGGCCAGCCGAGCAAATATGGAGTAGCGTGGTCTTGATCTTCCCGGATGCGAACTCGGCCAAGCGTCGACACTGCCTTGGATGCTGCTACTCGCACACGACAGTGAGGCTTCCCAGTGCGGATCAGATTTCGCGGGAGAGGAAATGTGAACAAAACAAGCATCTGCACTGCAAGACTCCTTAAGCTGTAGAGGGATTGGTGCACACCTTGAGAGAAGCGGAGCACTGTAGTGCTGTCAACGATGTGTGTGGAAATACGGAGTAAGGTGCAGAGCAGATATCGCTGTGGCGGCCTGTGGATGAGGCGCAGAAATGCTTTATCCAAGCAGCAGCTGTAGGGAGGACGAAGCGCGCAGCAGCAGCAGCAACAACGTCAGCCACTCAATAATCTTCACACTGGGCTGCTTTCGAATCCATGAGCGCACTAACTCTGCAATCGACGCTGATGCTCGTCCTGACACTCCAGAAACCAAGTGCTTTCTCCCTGCTGGCTATCCGTTGCTTAAAATGAGGCTCTCCCAGGCATCAGCAGCAACTCCATCACTCCAACCATTATGCAAAATGTCCCTTTCTCTGATAGCAGTATGCAGTCCTAATCAATAACCTGCCCCTCAATCCATACCCAAACAGCCTCTACGAAAGTAGTGCTGTAGCTACTCCTGAAACGAACTGCGATGGAACCGCATACATATATGATGCTTTATTGTTGTAAGAAGTGATTTGGTCAAAAATAAATTCGATGGCTCGCCAAGCGAGCAAATCTACTTGAAAATTCTTTATCCGAAGTGAGTAAAAACAAAGCGAGAAGTTCCAGGTAAGGATGACTTAGCTTGTCGCGAGCAGGAAAGTGTGTCCTAGTACCGAAAAAGCCAGGGGTATCAACTATATGTTTGGCACCTGCTCGAAGCAAACCACGACCAGCTGCATCACTCACAAGAAGACTCCTCAGCCCTTGCACAATTCAGTGCTACGAATTGCAGATAACTGGTATAAATAAATAGTATGGCAGGTAACTGGTATGTGTCATACGTATCGTACAGATGATCAAATGATTATGTCATAAGTTATCAGCAGCCACGTATCACTCGTTGTGTCGTTTGAATTTGACCAGTTCTTGCCAAATAAGTGCTAAAAATCACACAGACAGAATGTAACGCAAACAGAAATACGCCGCTAATAAGTGCAGAAAATATGCCAGAGTGAAATGATTTGCTTTTCTTTTGTAAATTTTTCGCTTGGTTGCCCATAATTTTTGCATCTAACCATCTAAGCATTTTGCTGGCTGTACACGGTCCTTATTCCGGAGATAAGACCGAAAAATCATTACAAAATGGTGTAGCCAGTTTTCTAGGATTTACTGCTGCAACTAAAGTCTGAAAAGCGCACCTTTCCAGTCTGAAATTGTTTTGCAGCTTGACCCTTCATCCAACGTAAAGGGCCCATCCGCGATTGGTTCGTCATCCGGCATTGAATATTCCCGGAGGTAAGGATGCGCGAGGGCTTCTGCTACCGTCATCCTGGAAAATGGTATAAACTGCTCGTACTTTACTGATTAACAAGATCAAGCACATCCCCCGTAACCAGAATCCCCCAATATTATTGAAATTCCGGTGTCTTTCACTGTTATTGCACGCCCGTCTACGCTGAGCTATACGAATGAATTAGCAGACCTTCTCTCAGTCAGTACTTGATGATCCAGCTGTTCTCATCTCTTCGACACACTGCTAAAATCTTAATGAATCATCACTGACAATTAATTCCGTTTCCTGGATTGACTGCAACTTTTTTTGAAACATATCAGTTTAGAAAAAGCGAACCTTTTTTCCGGGTCAAGAACAAGAATACGATCCAGGAAATCGATAACCAGCATAGAACAAGTTTTTGGAAAGTAGTCTGCAAACGATTTGCGAGGATAGACACCCAACTTCGTTATAACACTAAGTATTGCTTCATTTGAGGCAATTTTCGCTAACAGATCGCGGTCTGGACTTCCACACAATTCTGCTATAAGTCGGTATTGGGCCATCGCTGAAAAAAAACAGTGCTCTCACTAAAAGCTTGGAAAAACAGGAAGACATCGGACTGAAACTCTGAAACAACTATTCAAGGCTGCTTTCAGGTGTGCTATCAACCTGAGCTCAAGTACTGCACCACTGAAAGTGATCACTGCACTTACAGTCTTCTCCAGGAAAAAGCGGACGTCCAAGGGTCAGCTCTGCCAATATACATCCCACAGACCACACATCCGCTGAAAAAAAAAAACACTTCTGCGTAAAATAGAATTATAAGTCAACAAATCGATGCTACCCACTTTCATCAGACATTCGAGGAAGCATAGTAATTTTAAAATCCTAATAAACGACTCCAAACAAACTTTCAGTTGTTACCTTGTGTGTCGTAAGACTCGATTTTCCAATACATGACCTCTGGGCTACGATACCAACGGGTCATCACGTATGCCGACAGAACAGCATCTTCGCCATTCAGTGTACGAGCCAAACCAAAATCCAGAACCGATAAATCACAGTCGTTAGTGACAGCTAGATTTCCCGGCTTCAAATCTCGATGCATAACCTCAAACACAGATAAGTCCGGAAAATCCACGGAATTCACTTTAGCATAAGACGAACAAAAATCTGATGAACTCACATTTGCTGAATGTAAATATTTCAGTGCACGCAGCAACTGGTAAATGATAAATTTGTGGTGTTCCGGAGATAGTATGCGTTTTTTCAACTCACGCTCCCGTTTCAAAATCTCGTACAGGCTATTACCGGCATACTCCGTTACGATATACCTAAAACAGAATGCATTAGTTAAGCCAAGTCAGCGTAGGTCCCTAAGCAGAATATGGTCCCAAGCGCAGATCCTAGCACTCACACTGCAGAAAAAGCGAAAAGTGACTTGTCCGGCGTATATAAGTCCAAGAGCCGTACGATATTCTCATGTACCATCATCTGCAGCAACCGCATTTCCCTAGAATGCAGATTACAACAGTAAATTTGCTACAAACAGAAGCTTATCCAGATCATAAAATATCCAATTTGTGATAAATCGAAATCCACAAAATGCAAAGGTTTCCTCCTTTCTCCCTTCCCTTCCCTAACTACAACTTCTTCTGTCTGTTGTCCAGTCAATCAGTGCGTAAGTGGCGTGTCAAATGAACCAAGCTTTTTATATACGTTAACAGACACCACTTGCTTATTCCAGTGCATTCATGAGCATACATTCATGAACTGGAACTGGAAGCACCTACTGAGGAGACCACTTAGTTTGTCACTGTCTTATATAGCTTCTTTATTGATGGTATGCAGCATGTACTACCTGTAAACCCTCAGTGCCGCTTTTTCATCGCGAAATGGCTCATACAGTTTCTTGACAGCAGCCACTGTTCGCCCTCCATCCGCACATTTGTAGTTTGAAACTTTTCTAAAATTGTCAATTTTCAAAAAAAGCCTCTATCGCTGGAAATGCAACAAAATCTGAATATTTTATTCAAAAGCTTCATCAGACAAAAAGGGTAATTATCGTAAGCAGAATAGTTCGCATAGGAAGGAAATCCAGTCAGCAAAGTCTGTTAGGATTGCTGGTACGATCAAGTGTTTTTGCCTGAACCTTAAAGCAGTCAGATCGTTAACAGTACAAATGGTTTTTGCTTTACAGTTTAACATGTACCCTTTTGCTATATGCAGTAGAAGACGGAAGTCGACTAACGAATGGAGCGATAATGCTGGATTTTGGAGCAGCGTGAAGTCCCAAACCCCAACGTATATAACAGCCGTGAAAAGATGCTGCTGACAATTTCGCATCCTTTAGTTTATCGTATCTGGTGTTAGACACTTGTGAAAGCCTGATTTTAAGCTTTTAGTGACGCACAAGATTTTGCACCTTCCCCGAAAGTCCTACCTTCTTGGCTGATTGCCGAAAGAGAAGGACGGTGAAAGTGTTGCATTTGAATATATGACGCACGCGCCTATGCTCAACGCACATGCGCAAGCAAAAGCTCATTTTTCGCTTATAGGCTCACGTATGGACAGTCAACATTTTCATAAAATGAATTTTTCTGCTCAGTCTAAACGGATGGTAAAATTGTCCAAAACCGAAATTTAACTTACAGATGACGCTTGACATGAACGTGTTTCGAAACCGAATTGAAAATTTTTTAGTCGCATATAGGTGCAGAATATGCTCGTAAAATTTCAGCTTTCTAACTGGACTGATTAACAAAATCGTATTTTCGCTACATTTTCAACGTGCTCTTATTAGTAATGCAGGTGTATTATAAAATCGTTGGCAACATGCACCAGGCGGGCCCGTGCGATCAGGTGCTTTTGCAGTATTTGTGCTGTAGTAAGATCGCTTGGAATCCCAGTAGTTAGAATTTGAGACATACTGGTCCACGAGGTTCAGGAAGTTAATTGTGCAATCAAACAGCGCTTGGACAGGGAACACTCCGTTAAAATTTCAGCATTCCAGTATTTTTGATTTCCGAGTTAGCAATCTTCTCGCCAAAGACTTTCACGGGCCCGTATGTAAGAATCTCGCACAGTTGGCGGCCGAATTTGAAATCTTTAGGGCCTACGTGAGCTGGGAAGATCCCCTTAAAATTTCAGCCTCCCGGCTTTCCTGGTTCCCGAGTTAGCGATTTTCCTGCCAAAAATTTCACGTGCTTGTACACGAGTCCCAGAGAGCGTAAAGGCCGGCACCGCGGTCTTGGCACTTGGCCAAGGAACTCTCTGGCGAAATTCTAGCGTCGGTGTTTGCATGGTTGCCGAGTGGAACACCCGGACACACACACACACATATATACATATATATATATATATATATATATATATATATAATACATACATACA